ACTAAATACTTTTTTGCCCCACTGTATATATATATATATATATATATACACACACGTTTAGATGAAAAACTTGGGAAAAAAACTTGTTGTTGCCTTGGCAACTAACTGAAATACATTAAAGTTCTAACTTACAAAAATTTTATTTTAACTGAAATAAAAATATTACAAAAAAAATATTAAAACATATAAACTAAAATTAAAACAAATATATATGGCACCTCTGTGATTGCCCAAGAGCTCACATTGAGAAACACTGACCTTTTCTCTATTTCCACTCTTTTTAGGGACAAACAGAGGTTGATGACTGCTGTGTCCATGTTTCTAGAATTAGTGCAGAAGAATGATTTCCCAGAGTTCCTTACCACATACCTTAACCTGGACCACACTTTCCTCAGCTCTCAGAGCCAACATGAGAACCGACAGACAGACGCGGCGCCCAAAGCCAGACTCTAACAAGTCTAAATTACTTCATCACAAACAAAATATTACATCCAGGAACGCTTGTTGTCTTAACATGTGAATACATGAAAGATGGTTATAATGTCTAAAAAAGGATAGGAAATTTACTTCAATTTACCTATAGCACAGTGGTTCTCAACCAGGAGACCTAATGATGACTCATAAGCCAAAATAACTTTAAATCAATCAAGATAAGAAGAAAAAAACTGGTTATATGAGGAAGCATAATTAATAAAAAGGGAAAGGAAAAAATATATTTAGACCTGGAAAAATAATAGAAATTAATACATTTGTAAAACTACTATAATCTAATAACTACAAGCTATGGCAGTTCTCAAATATTTACAGGGTAGAAATTCGGAGTACAAAATTCTTATTCTTAATTTTTATCCAGGTAATCACAAACAACTGGAAAAATCTGAATATTGGGGATGGATTAAAATGTTGAGAACCACTACTATTGCACATGAATCAAGGCTGTTATACATTTGAATAGATTTTAAAGTCATCTTATTGATAAATAACCAATAAAAGTAAAGCCCAAATGAGTAAAGTAAAAATAAATATTTATAAAGGTACAAATTCTAGCTCTTTTCACCTGCAAACGTTTGGTTTAACTTTAGCAAAACCCCTGCAAATTCTTGTGTTCTGTATTTTCTAAGAGATGAAACTGTTACATCATACATTGTAACCAAAACCAAATGTGGAAATTAAAAAAACAAGAGAAATACATCACAGTCATGTTATTTTGTTTTATTTGTAACTGTGTGAGTGTCAAATGACAGGACATGTTCTCAGAATTCAGACAGTGGTATGTTTGATGGAGTCCTGTATTATGGGGGGAAAAAATCATAAACAGAAAGTTTGAAACCAACATGAGACACCAAACAATGAGTGGGAGAAAAAAATAAAAGATGCCAAACAAACCCAACAGAAACTGTCACAGTAAAAGTCCTACAGGTCCAACAGATGCCACTGCCGCCTCTAAGACATTCACTGGAAAACCGAAAGGCAGCAGAGAATGAAAGAGAAAAATAATAAAATAAAGACATGCACATCTGCCTCTCATCGGCACTCCAGGTGACCTTTTAATCGACTGTTATCAGCTTATTGGCTGAACATCAGTGTCTCCTCCCAGCAGACGTGGTGGGTTTTCACTGCTGGCTCCCCCTGGTGGCTGATCCTGGAACAGTTTCTGCCCAGCCACATTAATTCAGTGCCACACACTCCCCACACCCCCAAACCCCCCTTCCCACGTACCCTCGCAACAGGTGCCATCATCTGCATCTAAAGGTCCGCCCCACAGGTTTGGCACACGACCACGCAAGTCAAACCAGGACCAAAAGTATTGCTCCTCCTGATATTATTCGGTTCTTTTTAATATTATCTTATATAAATTACTCTTAAAAACATGTTAAGCAAGATGCATGTGTCAGATAAACAGGAATTAGGCCCAATGAGTTCACTGTGACCATCTTGATCAATCTTTCTCTTTAATACCATGTATTCTGTTCTAGCATAAGAGACGCCATTGGCAAATTTTTTATTTTTTTTTAAAAAGCAAAACAAGATAGAAAGGAGAAAAAAAAAATTATTGTAAAACAGGTTTTTCCCCTATTGCTCGCTTGCTTCCGTGAGTGGAAAAGAAGGTAACCATGGTCTCGTTAGTGCAGTAGAGTCTCAACCTCAGTGGAGCGGCCATTGGCAAATTTTTTATTTTTTTTTAAAAAGCAAAACAAGATAGAAAGGAGAAAAAAAAATTATTGTAAAACAGGTTTTTCCCCTATTGCTCGCTTGCTTCCGTGAGTGGAAAAGAAGGTAACCATGGTCTCGTTAGTGCAGTAGAGTCTCAACCTCAGTGGAGCATCTGGTCTCAAAATGCTGACGCCATAAAACGGCCACCCTGCTCCCTTCCTGAAACGCTCACATCTCATTGGGCATGTCCTCGTGGTCACAGGGGGACAGGTCTCCATTGGTGGTCACCGCAGAGTTGTCCTGGTAACTGGGGGGCATGAAGGCTAAAGCATAGGGATAGATACCATGGCAAGACGCACGGTACGATTCGAGAATTTTCTCCTGCTGCGAGCCCAGACTGCCGTCCCTTAACGCCTGGAGAACCTCGGTACACGTCTGATATTCACACATACAAATATGAGAGATGTAGCATCATGCTTTTTGTGAGAAATATCACAATTTTATTCGGTTCGGTTTATGGTTATTGTACCTTAATGGTTCTGCCTGTTAGGGACTCGTTCAAGGAGGTAGCCAGCTCGGCAGCCATCCCCTCAGAGGAGGGGTCCAGAAAAACCATCATCTTAGCAGCTGCATACAACAAAAAGGTAAGATGCTAAATGAACAGCTAAAAGAATGTAGTGGTACACTCATGCTAAAGGGTTTCACAGCAACAAAGCAATCAGAAGTCATTAATATCTGGTCACTTGAGTGAAAGTGGCCATTGGTGTAGTTCAAATTTATGAGCAGCAATGTGATTGAACAATCACCAAAGAGACTGCAGACAGCGATCTGCTTTCTGAAATGGTCTGATACAGGAACCCAGTAGAAACACCAAAGAGCAACCAACAGTACAGTGAGACTGTGACCTCTAGTGACTTAATTTTTTCAAATGTGACCAAACCTTTAATGGTGGAATCCTTTAATCTCTTGATTAAATGACTGGGTAATATTTTATGCAAAAATAGCTATTAAAATTCAAATAAATAAGATCCCCATTGTCGGCCTGCGACTCCTTGTTGTCATCGGAGAGCGGGTTATCATGAAGGCTGAGGTAGATCTCGATGGCTGTACGTGCTGCCTTGAAGTAAAAAGGGTGCATACGCAACACGTCCTCTAGATTGAGCAAATCGACGTAAGAACGCAACGTCATCTTCCGCATACAGTATGTGTGGAAGTCGAACTGGTCATCTGTTATCTCCACAAAATGCTGTTAACAACAAAGATGAAAGTGTCAGGATATTTCAGACCATTGGGTATTTATTTATGATTTAATGCAATGTCAGCAGCAATGGCTATATTCATGGTAAAAACAATTCTATTGCATCACTCAATCAATATCAGCCTACAGATATAGCATAGAGCTATTCACGTCAGTTTGCGAACTACAGCTAAAATTAACATCTGATAGTATCTAATTCTGCAAGATTTACCCTCTCAATTTCATGGCACTTCTTCAGCGCCTCTCCATATTTGTTCAAGGACTTGTAGGCCAGAGCACACTCCGTCTGGAACCACATGCACTGCATCTCATTCAGATTCTCTACAGCAGAGGTTCCTTCCTGCAGGTGATAGAGATCGGATACATTCAGACTGATGTGTTTTTGATAATGACTCTTGGAAAAATTAATGTGAGAGATTAAAAGGTCATTATGGAAATTGTAGGGCATGTAGTAAGTCCCAAATTTCAATTACAAGGGACAAGTGAATTATTGCTTAAACCGTTAATCTGTCAGTTTTTGCACAAAAATGCGCTGAAAAAACTGAAAAGGGGTTTTTGGTCAAAGGAGGAAAAAATGTTACTGCTTTCAATGCTCCTAAAATATAATGTTAACCAATATTTTACTATTTCAGTCTTTCTGGAGCTGAACATGCAAGCCAAGAAAACGGCTGCCAGAGGCAATGCCTCCAAATGAAAAGATTTGTCTTTTAAAATGATTTTATATAGTAACTAAAATAACACACTACCATTCAAAAGTTTGGGGGCAGTAAGATAAAAAAAAAGTTTCTCTTGTGCTCATCAAGGCTGCATTTATTTGATTAAAAAAATGCAACAAAAACCGTAATATTGATTATTAACTGTTTTCAATTTTAATATATTTAAAGGAGACATATTATGCCCCTTTTTACAATATGTAATATAAGTCTTTAGTGTCCCCAGAATGTGTCTGTGACGTTTCAGCTCAAAATACTCCACATATAATTTATTATAACATTTTGAAAATGCCTATTTTGAGTGGATGCAGAAACATGCTGTTTTTCGGGACTGTTTCTTTAAATGCAAACGAGCTGCTGCTCCCCACCCCCTTTTCCAGAATAAAGCTGCGCCATTACAGCTTGGACCAGCTAAAACATCTGTTTTGGTTCTGATTATCATGTTTATCGCGCTGAAATCATGTGTTTTAAATCATATGAGTTTAAACGTATGATATACGGTTTTCTGAGTGCACACAACCGAAGCACACGGACAGAAAGCGGATGTCACAGCATAGGCCCTTTCGCACCGCTTTAGTTCCAGAACTAAATGTACAGTACTAAAGTACTGGGACGATTTTGCGCGAACTATTTCCCAGTACCATTTAAAGGGTTGCATTCGCACGGACAGTGTGTACTAAGAAGTGACGTAAGCCGGTCGACAGCGTCGTCATTTGTGCGCGGCGTTCAACAACAGAAACAAAGAAGAACAACATTAACAACAGGAGGATGGAGGACGCTGTGATCGAAGCTGTGTTTTTGTTGTGTCTCGCGGGTTTCACAGTGGACATGGAAAGTCGATGTATACGTAAAGCGATTGAAAGAATGGAAAGGAGGACTAAGAATCTCCAACGACAACTGGCAGTGCTACATTTGCTACAAGTGCATGCACTTCAGCGTCCATCCATCTATCGCTGTTCTCCATACTTGCGAAATAAGTTGACACAATGTTTACAGTATGTTTACACAGCGTTTTAAATAATGGCGGGTGAGGGCGTTCTCGTACTCGTTTGGCCAATCAATGTCTACTTACGTCAGAATTAGTACCAGTTGTGCTGGTTAGACCCTGCTCCGGAGTAGGAGCTAATTTGGTTCTCGAAAAAGGCAGTCCGGTACTAAAATCGCACCCAGTTCCGGCGGTGCGAACATGCCGAAAAGTGGGTAGTTCCACAATTAGTTCTGGTACTATGAAAAGGTTCCAGCGGTGCGAAAGGCCCTCATGTGAGTACTAAACTAAGTTCTTATTGACACACAAGTTTACGTTAAAAACACACAAGTTACAAAAGCAGTCGGTTATGTCTGCGAAGGTAAACTGCTGGGAAATAAATTGCATGTCTATTTTAGATCTGTGTGGCAGCAGCAATATACAGTAAATAAATCAATAAATCCACTGCTCTGTTGTCTCCTCTGAGTCTGGGACAACAGTGTTCTGTGCTCGTCTGTGCAGCCAAAGACAGAACAGTTAGCATGTTTTGCTCAAACTTTCGCTATGGCATTAGAACTGGTACACCGTTGTCGCTTGTGAAATCAAAATGACGGCACCTGGGGAGAGAACTTACAGATTAAGGGGAGGAATTATTATAATGAGATCCCTTTGCCACGTCACCAAGGGAGCAAAATCAGACGCGCTCGTTTTTTCAGACGCTTGCAGAAAAAGGCTTACCAAAACGAAGTTACTGGGTTAAACTTTTTCATGTTTCCTTGGTTGGTTGATGCACCAGGGACCCGATTAAAGCACTTAAAACCTGGAAAAGTCAGATTTTCATGATATGTCACCTTTAAAAATGTAATTTATTTCTGTGACGGCAAAGGTTAATTTTTAAGCAGCCGTTACTCCAGTCTTCAGTGTCAAGTGATCTTCGAAAATCATTCTAATATGCTGATTTAGTGCTCAAAAACATTTCTTAATTTAAAATAGAAACCTTTTGCAACATTATACAAGTCTTTACTGTTACTTTTGATCATTTTAATGCACTCTTACTGAATAAAATTATTAAATTATTTTTAAAATCTGACCATTTAACCCATATTATATATGTAATAATAACTGGTGTTATTTTAAGTGCATTCTCACAAGCATGTGACCTTCACCATACTAACCCGTGTGAACTTGGAACACATCTCTTCAGCCTCTTTGATAAGTCCAGCCTTGAGCAAATACTTGGCACACTTGGAGTTGATGAAGCGGTCAGCAGTGTCCAGAGCCTGGGCCTCATCCATCCAGCGAGCAGCTTCACGGATGTTACCCGCATGCTTTCAAGAGAACAAGACATGGAAAATAAAGTCACTCTCATGTTCTATTTAATGGTTTCTATCTTGAGAACATTTTGAAACCATGTAAAAGTGTCTCATTTCTTTTACATCAAACTGTTTCAACGACGTGAGTGTGCTTCACCTTATATATCTTCGCCTTGATGAGGAAGAGCTCTATGAGGGTGGGGGTGCTTTCGATTGCTGTGTTGATGTACTCGAAGGCAAGCGTCTGTTTGCCGATATGGTTGAAATGCTGGGCCAGGAAATACTGAACCCACAGTAAAGTAGTGGGCGCCTCGGTTTTCCCATCATCTGCAAATTCAGCAACACATGTCCACAGTGAGAACTTTGGCACCACTGTCATCCGTCATTAAAATCTGTTTACATCAGGGTTCCTCAAATCTTGCCCTGGAGGGCCAATGCGCTGCAGAGTTTAGCTCCAACCCTGATCAAACTCCCCTACCTGTGATTTTCTAATGATCCTGAAGACATCGATTAGCATGCTCAGGTGGGTTTGATTAGGGTTGGAGCTAAACTCAGCAGGAAAGTGGATCTCGTGGGCCAGATTTGAGGATCCCTGGTTTACATGTACTCACCATTTTGGTTGAACATTTTACAAGTTCTCAAACTTTTTTCATAGCCCACAACTAATTCCTCAATTATTGCTACCTGCAGAAGACAGGAACATGTTATAAAAATGGTGTCTGTTCTTAAATGTTAAAGTCCAGAAGAAACTTCTACACATTTTGTTGGTTATATTGCCCCGTCTCACCTTGTCTTTTTGATGGCAGAGTGATTTCAGTGTGGTAAAGACAGGCGGGCATCCTTTGCTGAAGTTCATCCTCAGATAGCGATCCAAACACTCTCTAAACTTCTCACCTGCGAGAGCCAAATGCGGTCATATACACAAACACATTATGAGAGCATAACACTTCTATTGATTTGACAAGACTGGCACTGACCTGTGAGGAAGTTGAGAGGAAGTCTTCTTGGCACCAGGCCTTTAGGATACTTAACCCAGGCATCTTCATAGATTTTCTGCTTCTCCTCCACACTCTCTGAAAGCAGACATCGAGTAAGGGACTAATAGAAATTAAAACCAGCCAAGATTTGCTGTGTTCAGAAGAATGTGCAGTTACTTGGTTTGAGTGCTTTCTCTAGCCCTTGATAGTAGCTCCAGTTCTCAGGGTTTCTCTCCAGCAGTCGGTGGTAGACCTCCGTAGCTTCACCAGCCCGATCTAACTTGAGAAGCAGCTCTCCTACACACATACCAACATACGTTGCTTTTAAAAAACGGTGACACCAGACGATAAACAAATTCATGACACACATAGGGATGCCAAAATCAGAGATATAAAATTAATATTCAAATTCTGTTATTTTGTTTAATGCAAAAATAAATTTCCATTCAAAAGTTTAGAGTCAGTCATTTAAAAATAAAAGAAATGAATACAAGGACACATTAAATTGATGAAAATTACATGTATAATGTTACAAAATATTTCTATTGCAAATAAATGCGGTTCTTGTAAACTTTCAATTCATCGATCAATTTCATCCTAAAAATGTATCAGTTTCCACATATTCATAGAAGTTTTCAACATTAATAATAAGAAATGTTTTTTGAGCAGCAAATCAGTAAATGCAGCCTTGGAAAGCATTAGAGCCTGCTTCCAAAAACATTATGAAATCTGACCCACCCCAAAAGGTCAACTGTACTTCAATTTAAATGCTATAAGTGAATTTCAGCATCATAACATTAAATTGTTCAGCATTAAAATGTGAATAATCATTCTGATATTTGCTAAAGCTTTAACAGTGTTATTATATTAATGTTTGTTTTAAATATAAACTAAGTGAGCATTAGATGACAGCAAATTAAAGTAAATGCAAAAAAACTGAAAAATGAGAACGCACAGATAATCATCAAATCAGCCATAAAAAAAGAAACTCTCTAATATCAGGCGATAACCAATATATATGCATACAAAAAAAACACACCTCGTGTCTCCTCTACAGCCAGTTTGTCACATATCTGTTTTTCAAAGTTGGTCAGGTGATCGAGGGCTTCTTTGTTAAGCCCGGCCTCCCTCAACAGCTGATTCTGATAAAGCAACAGCTCACTGTACTCGTAATCCACTTTATCTGGAGACGTCTGAAACACAATCAACAACAAACCTCAGTGGCATCCAAAAACAAACACTTGGTGGTATCCCCTACTAAGCTGTCTGCAACAATACACTTAGTGTAGATGACAACTTACAGGAAGCAGTGAAAATAATACCTGTTGTGTTTTGCGGAACTCCTCCACGATCTTAGCTGCCATCTCATAATCTTCCAGAAGGTGGTACGCGATGGCATAACCGATCCAGGAGGCTCTTTGAGCCGGTCGCAACTGCAGTAACTGGTACCTGGTCTCCTGTGAGAGAGAAAATGTTACAAATAATATTATGACCATAACAATTTGAGTGATAGAAGGACTTTGGGGGGGGGGTGGAAACTGTATTTTTATTGGCTTGTTCCATGGAAAATTGTAGTTTCTTGAGACATGGAAGCACTTAACATTCAAAATAACTTACCCTGTAACCTTCGAGGTCCCTCATTTGGATCTGCAGCAGTGAGAGATCTCTGAGGATTTGAAGATTGTCTTTGTCCCATTTAAGAGCATTCCTGTAGCACTTGATGGCCTCGTCATACTTTTTATCCGAGCGCTGAAGCAAACCATAAACGTGCCAACCTGAAGAAGAGTTAAGGACAGGAAACAGCTCTGCACCTAGGGCTGTACGATTTGGTGGTAAAATAATTAAATGACTACTTTTATGACCAAAATTGTGACTGTGATTTAAAATGCGAAGTTCGAAAAGTATAAAAAGCTCCAGGTTTGCTGTGCTTGTTTGTAGAGCTGCACAATTTGGCCCAAAATGTTGTGATTATATAATATAATTTTGATATAATATTTTTTGTTACTGTACAATACATTTTTTTTTTTATTTAAATAATAATTTTTAAAAAGCACATATATGTATTTAATTAAATCAAAGCCCTTGCAATTTGACTAGGCCATGATGGTTTTATTTTGATTAATCGTGTTGTACTAACTGTACCTATTCATTAAATTACACCGTGACGTCATCTGTTCTGTACAGTTGCCAGACATTTGAGAATAAGAACCAAAAAATGCCTTAAAGTGTAAGTCAATCACTAACAGTTGGATACAGAAATGACTTCTTTTGACAATGCTTATTTATGAATCCACTGACAGTGGAAAAAGTGTTAAGGATACAGACATGACTCTTCAGATCGTTTCGTAAGCCACGTCGCACTAGGTCATACGCCTCCTCCTTTCGGCCCAAGCAGTTCAGAGTCAGTCCTTTCATTGCAAGGGTCTCTGCAAGATGGAAAAAAAAAGAAATCATTGTGTGCCCAACAAATTTAATTAGTCAAAATGATGAGAAACTGAAGTAATGAATGCCCGAGAATGGTCTTACCTCCATGTTCGGCGAACTTCTGGTTGGACAGGATCTGTTTGCAAAACTTGAGCCCATTTCTGTACTGCTTGTGTTCGTAGCATCTCTGCAAGACATAAAATGGAAAAAGCACGCTAATAATTACACTTTCAGTGCACATTAGGCAAAATGAAAGTAGGGTTAAGGCGTGTGGTTAGCGATGTACATCTTCCTAACACTTCAAACCACACAGAAAGTAAGTGTGACACATGTAACAATTCCAATTACAAAATCAGTGTGATACAACAAATATATATCAGTGTTATAGAAGTGTGAATCACCTTGGGACTACGTAGAAGACACACAAAGGCTAAAGGAGTTCACAAACTCCTGCAAAGACATGAGCTGGATAATCAAGATATCAATGCCAGAAAAGAATCAGAGAAGAAAGCCGCACCTCCTGTCATGATCCCCTTAATGATCTGCTGCTTAAGGCTGGAATACGCTACACGACTAAAAATCTGAACAGATTTTTAAACACTAGGCATCATACACTTACCGACTTTGTAAACAGTCACTGAGGTCATACACTAGGGTTGTGACGGTGAGGAGATTTTCCCACCGGTTAATCGACGTGTAACAACACTGGTATCACGGCGGGGGCGGGGACGGGGGCGTTCCCTCTTTTCCTCGCTGTGCGCATTTTACTTTCACTTTCAAATAGCGGCAATTCGGCGTAAAGAAATTGTTCGTTTTTACTTCATTTGAATTTCCCCTCTTTTCCTCGCTTTCCTTTGCTTTTAAATAGCTTAAACGCGCCGTGCGCATTTTATTAGCGAATCAGCGTCAATTGCTTGAATGCAACAACAAAATACAATGTCAAACTCACTTTAGCCTATATATAAAACATAGAACTTTTATTAACAAAACATATAAAAATACACCATGCTATAGGGCAGTCCATGCCTAATATAACATAACAAATAACTTACATAAAGTTTAAATAGGTAGGCCTATACAAAACTGGAAATAGGCTAAGTAAACATGTATAATATATAACCAAATAAATAAGAAACGTAGAACGTTTATTAGCAAAACGAGTAAGATAGCTTGGAGGCACGGCATACACCTTGATGTAAAAAATAAATGACACAAAGTTTAAATAAAGTAAAAATCTGCAAACAATGTGGAACAATTAAATAAGAAACGAATGTTTAAAAAAAACTTCCAAAATCACCTTAGATAAACGGCAAAAGTCAACAGGCTTTTCAAAATCCAAACTATTGCCAAACAGGCGCTTTTGCATTTCGTTTCGAAACTAAATCATCCGCGATCGTCTTGTCTGTCTCGACTCACTCTTCTTGTCAGTCAGCTCGACTCACTCTCCTCGCTGGAGAAACTAAATCTGATCTGTGATGCGACTGTCGTTTGGCACGCTGCATTGAGCAGCCGCGTTCAGTTTTTAATTGTAGTGTCTGTTCTTTTACTGAACTAAATTATTTTTATTACTATAAAAAATCAAAACGACGGTGGGGGTCGGTGACGCGGTGGGCAAGTGACATAACCGGTGTTGCGGCTTAACACCGGTATCACCGTCACCACTGTCTTTCGTGGCAAGCCTATCATACACTACCAGGTGTAGCGTATTCCAGCCTTTACTGGTGCAACTCTTATTAAAGTAGTTCACAATACTGCTAAAACGCCCATGGCAGGCTCAGAAAAAAGGCTATGATGGTGAGATGTTGATTACAAACAGATTACAATCTACTTTGGTCACCACAACAGTTTAGACATCCCAGGAGAGCTGTCTGCCAAATATCAACATAACAGTAACGTGAAAGAATACCCTCTGGCATAATCGTGTTTAAGGGACAGACATCTTTAGGCACTGCTGTTGGCATTGTTATCATGACTGAAATGTAATGTGTGAGTCAAAGAAATTAAATCACAATAAGGCCTTCTAGCAATTTAAGCTCCCTCCCTGTGACAGAACAGAAACAGATGTTAGAAAAAACAAATAAACCACCGTCAGATGACTTTGAATTTCTAACTCTGTATTCTGGAATAACAAAAATCAGGACGGTCTAACAATCAGTAAGAACAACCATTTGAGGCCATTTCATGACTGGTCATTAATACACATTACTAATTAATAGCAATGACTGGGCAAGTTGCTGTTGAGTCACTATGACCTAAAAACTACTTCTTAAAGCACAAAGATTTTCATAACAAAAGTTCATCATTTGGATGTTTAAAATGATTTCTAATTGTTCACTATCAGAGTAGGCATTTTACCAGCTGTGTCCAAACTACCAAAAAGCATGATCCTAGGCCTAAATGTTGTCTAGGCAGACAGCTAACCAGGTTTTGAGACACAGCCAACCCGTCAAGCTAGTCTATCTCCCAAAGTACGTTCCCTTTGGTTTCTGTGTGAACTTGATACTTGATCAATTAGACCTGTATTTTGTGGCATAATCTTATTAAAGTCTATGTGTAATCACAAAGTTTTGCAGCTTTTAGTAAAACCAGCTTTGCTACATGCTAGTGTCAGCATATAACACACATTATATGCTAGTGTGCTACTATATGTTGACAAATTTAGAGTGTAACTGTTATTAAATCTCAGTAACAGTGTATTTATTCAACACAATATATCCAGTATATTAAATAATCAATATTAATTGACCCATCTTGCATTACACCCACTTTTGTCCGATCAAAAGCTTTCCAGAATGATAATGTCCCTCCCTTGACATGACTAACAAATCATGATTCATGAACTAAAGCTTCTATTTTATTTTATTTTTTTAATACAATTTAATGATAGTTCCTGTTAAATGCATGATTTGTCCGGTTAGCATATGACAGCAGATTTGAGGCATAGATGATGTATAATGATGTACATAAATCATAACATGTGTAAACAACACACTAACGTAACTATTACAACACTGCCTTCGTATGTTTCATACTATATTATTTTGAGGTTAGTGTTGCTTTAAATGGATTAATTTTCATTCCGTTCACTTGTACGGTGACTAATCGATTCAACCCCGTGTTTTGACACGACTTAATGCACGAAGCACTCAACGTTGTTACTGCTGCAAATTAATAAAGCGACTTTGTAGCATCGTTTAATGTTTATTCCGTCCACACAGCTATCAAATCACTGAACTTTGCGCTTAACTTTCTAAGGCAGTTAGCTGCTCTGTCAGGCAAGCTCATCTGCTCTCAAAGTGCGTGAACGTGTATGAGCTAATTGTCATGTTACGAGTATTAAAGCAATGCCAATGCTCTCTTGTTAGCTTGCAAAAGACTCCTAGGAGGTTTCTCTTGAGGTCAGCGGAGAGAGATCCTGGCTAAAATATGAAGGGGGTTGACACACGCTTGCTTTCTATTATTAACAATCCTGCGTTCGTTAGCAGATATATTTCCCCCAACTTACCAATATTCTCTTAAAGAGAGCGTTCTCCTTCGGCGGTAGAGTTACCGAGGGCATGCTTCTTCTTCTTCTTCTTGAGTACTGGTCACCGTGACTTTGCTCTGATCATGAATCTGAATCCTCGATCCTCTGGCCGGATTGTCTGCCGTATCGTAAAAGCCCCCCGAACTTCGCTGTCTGGGGCTTCTCGTCTTCACGTGGTGACAGCAGGCCCCCCTTCAGAACCAAAATGGCGACGCTGCTTCTCCCCGGGTCAAGCGGTGAATTGCGCATGCGCTGAGTGTGCGGCATTTCCGAGGCGGGATAAAACCATAGACATCATTGGCCGCTTTGAGCCGTTGCTGCGATACGTCAACGCGTCCGCCATGTTTGTGAGGGCAAGACTGCCTTAAAAATAAATGGAGGTAAACGGAGGAGCTGCGGTTTTTTCTGGAAAAAAACACGATAACGTTTACATTTATCAACCGATTTCAGAGGTCTGTGATCTACATGGAGTTAAAAATAACTCTGTCTCCAGTTATTTAGTTAGGTTTGGAAAATTATTAATTTTGTCTCACTTGTTGATTTGATTGATTTTGTCGGTTTACAATGCTAATGTTAATGTAGTATAACTGTGACATATACATGTTTTGTAATTTGAATGTACATTAAATGAAATTAAGTTATTTCATTGCTTTCTCTGTCTTCAACCCCAACATTTGAGCTTTGCTTGTGCTTCAGGTCAGAACACAGCTCATTCCCTTTGAAATGCTGGAAGAAAATCTAAATAATACATCTTTAAGCACTAATAATTTACCATCATTGAGAAAATTAAATACAACTAGCAAATACAAATCAAAAAGTGACACTCTTGGTAGTCTGCTTTTTATTTTGATAGCAATCTATACAGATAAACTCCACAACAAACAATAAGAAATGCAACTGATAATCCTTTATGGATCCAGTAAAACTTACAGCTACAGTGGTCAAATATTATGCACTGATACAGCGCACAGTAAAAGTGATATGTAATATTAGAAAGTATATGTTGTACAACTTGTAGTAAAGTGAATAATATAAAAAGCGAGTACAACAGTATATAATAGATTTATAATAGCATAAATTATATGTATAATACCATAATAAATAAATGAATAACAATAGATGAATAATAGCAAGTAGAATATGTAATATCAAGGGTGGAATAATACAGAATAGACAATAATGAAGAATAAATTAATAGTAAATTATAAAGTAAAATAAATAATCATGAAATGTAGTTTTATAATAGTACTGTGTAATAAGTATTAAACAAAGTAAGAAACAAGTAAGGGGGGGAGAGAGAGTGTGTGGTTTGAATATGACCAGGGTAATTCTGGCCATTCATTCAGGGCTGTTCTGGGTTTTAACTAGTACTAATACTACATTAGACTGTGGAAGTATAGCCTACTCTCTTGGACATGCAGAGAACAGGCTTTCTTCGGCTTGCGTTGTCCTGTTTGCAATTGGCTAAAAAGGAAAAAAATATATATAATAAGCACAGATTTATGATAAGCTATGAAATCCTGATGATTTAGATGATTTAGCTCCATCCCTAAACCTGACGGTCTGGCATTGTCTTGTCAAAGTGCTCACTGTACATATTGTGCTCATAACACAATTTACTTTATGATATAAACTACAATATAAAGTTAAAACTTAAGAATTCATTTAAACTTTGATTTCATATAAAGTCTCAGCTTTTTATCCATATACATAATAAATACAAAAAAGTATATATTATGTTTATGGATAAAACAGTGGAAACTACTTCTTCTTCTTTGGAATTTTTTGGCGTATTCCGCACCATAGGCACATACCGCCACCAACTGTTTCTAATCATACATGGATGATAGTCCCGCCTCTATTCATATTTTATTTCGGGCTCACCTAAGCTGTATTTCTGGCTGCTACGTGTTCAGCTCCCATGCCAAAAAAAACCAGCATGTGTGTTCCCCTATTCCTTTGCTTTATTTATTTATTTATTTATTTAACTATCAAATTCGTTTATTTAATCCTGTTTCTACTATATATTCCATTACTATTCTTTGATTACTACCTTCTCTTAATAATTTTCTTAATATCCATTTTATCTTATTTTTTTCTTTATTATTACCATTTAAGTTCTTTATCATTTTAATTCTCTCTATATCATATTACCGACATTTTAATATTACATGTTCAACAGTTTCTATTACCCCACAAAAAGCACATTTACCTGTAATATGTTTACCTATTTTGTATAGTGATGCATTTAGTCCTGTGTGCCCAAATTGTAATCTATTTAAAATCAGCTCATCTTTCCTACATCTTCCAAAATTGTATACTTCAGTGGAAACTATTTTTTTAAAAATATACTATAAATTAAATATATAATTATACGAAAAAATATACATAACGTTAAAGGAAATGATAGTGCTGCCCTGGCGATTTTCTTATAATTACAATAAAGGTACGACCATTTCATTTGATTCATGAAATGCCGTATGCATTGCCGCCACTAGAAGGCAATATTATCTTGGTAGTATGCTGTTCTTGTGTTTGAAATACTAAAAGGTTCAGTCCAGTGTATACACCCTTTTTTCACAAAAGGTTTTTTTTAGAATAGTTGCTGTTTCATCATAATGAATATATGTTTATTAGTACAATTGTGTTTATCTCCAAAAGCACGCCTCCCACAAGCCTTTACAAATATACAGGTGCATCTCAATAAATTAGAATGTCGTGGAAAAGTTCATTTATTTCAGTAATTCAACTCAAATTGTGAAACTCGTGTATTAAATAAATTCAATGCACACAGACTGAAGTAGTTTAAGTCTTTGGTTCTTTTAATTGTGATGATTTTGGCTCACATTTAACAAAAACCCACCAATTCACTATCTCAACAAATGAGAATATGGTGACATGCCAATCAGCTAATCAACTCAAAACACCTGCAAAGGTTTCCTGAGCCTTCAAAATGGCCTCTCAGTTTGGTTCACTAGGCTACACAATAATGGGGAAGACTGCTGATCTGACAGTTGTCCACAAGACAATCATTGACACCCTTCACAAGGAGCCACAAACATTCATTGCCAAAGAAGCTGGCTGTTCACAGAGTGCTGTATCCAAGCATGTTAACAGAAAGTTGAGTGGAAGGAAAAAGTGTGGAAGAAAAAGATGCACAACCAACCGAGAGAACCGCAGCCTTATGAGGATTGTCAAGCAAAATCGATTCAAGAATTTGAGTGAACTTCACAAGGAATGGACTGAGGCTGGGGTCAAGGCATCAAGAGCCACCACACACAGACATATCAAGGAATTTGGCTACAGTTGTCGTATTCCTCTTGTTAAGCCACTCCTGAACCACAGACAACGTCAGAGGCGTCTTACCTGGGCTAAGGAGAAGAAGAACTGGACTGTTGCCCAGTGGTCCAAAGTCCTCTTTTCAGATGAGAGCAAGTTTTGTATTTCATTTGGAAACCAAGGTCCTAGAGTCTGGAGGAAGGGTGGAGAAGCTCATAGCCCAAGTTGCTTGAAGTCCAATGTTAAGTTTCCACAGTCTGTGATGATTTGGGGTGCAATGTCATCTGCTGGTGTTGGTCCATTGTGTTTTTTGAAAACCAAAGTCACTGCACCCGTTTACCAAGAAATTTTGGAGCACTTCATGCTTCCTTCTGCTGACCAGCTTTTTGAAGATGCTGATTTCATTTTCCAGCAGGATTTGGCACCTGCCCACACTGCCAAAAGCACCAAAAGTTGGTTAAATGACCATGGTGTTGGTGTGCTTGACTGGCCAGCAAACTCACCAGACCTGAACCCCATAGAGAATCTATGGGGTATTGTCAAGAGGAAAATGAGAAACAAGAGACCAAAAAATGCAGATGAGCTGAAGGCCACTGTCAAAGAAACCTGGGCTTCCATACCACCTCAGCAGTGCCACAAACTGATCACCTCCATGCCACGCCGAATTGAGGCAGTAATTAAAGCAAAAGGAGCCCCTACCAAGTATTGAGTACATGTACAGTAAATGAACATACTTTCCAGAAGGCCAACAATTCACTAAAAATGTTTTTTTATTGGTCTTATGAAGTATTCTAATTTGTTGAGATAGTGAATTGGTGGGTTTTTGTTAAATGTGAGCCAAAATCATCACAATTAAAAGAACCAAAGACTTAAACTACTTCAGTCTGTGTGCACTGAATTTATTTAATACACGAGTTTCACAATTTGAGTTGAATTACTGAAATAAATGAAATAAAACTTTTCCACGACATTCTAATTTATTAAGATGCACCTGTATACCTTGAGTATTAAAGAGGCTCAAGTTCATCACTGAGAGCATCTCACATTATTGCATTATTGTCAACAATTATTTTTCATTGTCAACATTACTTCTTGGTGATGTCAGCAGAGCATTAGAGTTTAAGGAATGTTTTGAATGGAAAAAATAACATGCACTGATGAATCATGTAGCATGAGGAACATGTAAAAAGGGTATGTTGTGATTTCATGTTGACTTTAAACATAATGCTTGACTTGAAATGGCTATTTACTACATGATTAAGAAATCTTACATTGATTCTTGTGGTTTCTCACTTCCTTGGAGAAAGCTGTTGATTCTTTATAAAGAAATTAAGACGACAAACATGTTCATATAGCCAGAGCACTGTATTGTAGTATGACATAAAAAAAAAAAAAAA